AGAAATATCAGTATGAGAAGGTCTGAGGCACAGGTCAGGGAAGATGTACCTGGCCTTGATTAGATACCAGGTGAATGTGAACCTCCTGGAAAACTCTATGCCTGCCCTCTAGTGGAGCCTACACAGCAATGCAGAGAAGGCTCTGATTAATCCTACAGCCCAGACCCCTGCATGGGATTAACTTGTCAACTCCTCCTCTGTTTTATAACCAGAGTAAATCTTCTCATGAGAAACTGATAAACAGTACAGAAAGCCAGCCTGTGGACAGCTACTTTACATTCTGGAATCAATGGACCTCTGGAGTCTGCATTCCACATTCTGAATAATTGTATATAGGCCTTCTCCAAAGGATTTCTTTGCAGATAAATAATTCTGCCTCTTCCTGAAAAACCTAAAAATACCTGAAAAACTTTTAGCCTCCATCAGTTTTCTCTTTTGTTGTAGTTAGCTGTGTGGACATGCAGAGTGATGGGCAGATCCTTCTATTCTTTGACTGATGCAAAGTGGTACTAACCAGATTAGGCACAGTACTTTCTCATTAAAGTCTCTCTCCATCATTCTTAAAGATGTTCCATTGTTCCATGAGTGAGTGAACATACACATAGAGCTCAAACACATATTCTCATACCCCAAAGAAACACATAAGACAACACACAGACAAACACTCATACACACACACACACACACACACACACACACACACACACACACACACACACCTTTCTTGATCCCAGAAAGGCAAGAGAGAATATTTGAATCTTGCAACACCTTTTTACTACAGGGAGAGGTAATGTGTCCTCCCTGTTGTCTACAACCCTCGTAGACTCATCCAGACTTTTCTGCCCTGGCCTGAACTTGTTTCCCCTCCTAGGGAAGTTTTTATAGCAGACTCACTGATTGTACAGATAAATAACAACCTCTGCACAAATGAGTATGACCACACAAGACCAAGTGCTCATGGAAGATGGCTGAACATGAAGCCTCCTGATAGATCCAAGTTGACCCATCATAGTCTCCTCACTAAACCTACCCAGATTCTGACACAGAAGACATTGATTGCACTGGAGAATGGAAATCACCATTGTCATTACCCAACAACTTTTGACCAGATTACGGTGCATATTATACGAAGATAGCCCCAGGTCAGACAGTAGGAGGCTACTTAGGTCACCCACAGCACTTTCCTGAAATACAGCACTCTATAAAACTATGAGGAGGAGCTGGGCAGTGGTGGTGCACGCCTTTAATCCCAGCACTCAAGAGGCAGAGGCAGGAGGATCTCTGTGAGTTCAAGGCCAGCCTGGTCTCCAAAGCGAGTTCCAGGAAAGGCGAAAAGCTACACAGAGAAACCCTGTCTCAAAAAACAAAACAAAAGAAAACAAACTATGAGGAAAAATATTTCCTAACAACACAGCCATATACATGTTAGAGCGAGCATCAAAATGTCAGGTTCCATGTGTGAAGCCAGTAAGACAAACCAGACATTTCCTGGGAAATTACTTCTATGCCATGAAAGAAAAGAAGTCTACTTTTTATTTTTAAAATAGCTCCATTGTTTGATTTTTTATTTATTACAAAATGTATTAATTCAAAAGTAATAAAAATGTGTAAAAATTAAGAGACAGCAACAAGTCTGTTCTCTATGTGACCAAATGATCCATTAAACAATGAGATGACACAGGGAAAGACAGGAAGCTCTAGTGTGAGGAGACAGGAAATCCTAAGATCTGTGTCTATCCAGGTTACCGAACAGAAATTTTCAGGTTCAGTGAGAGGCCCGGGCTAAGGGAATAAGGGAGAAAGCAACAGAGGACACTTGATGTCATCATCTGGCCTTCCAACAAGCCCACAAATGTAAGCATCCTCAGGCATGTATATAACACACACACACACACACACACACACACACACACACACACACACACACACACCTCAAATCTTAAGTGAATAAAATGCAATAAGGAGGACATCAACTGAATGAGGATGGCATTACCAGTTGAATTTAAACTCCTCACACTAGCTGTTTCAAGTGAGACCCACAGTTCTGCTTTCCATCATTTTGAGACTAAAATGCCTGGGGAAACATGATGTGCTTCTGCAGGCTATGTTGGTGCAGTTGGAGAAATTATTCATTAAAATCCCAAATCTGTCACCCTGACCCCTGTCTGTCATAAGCCCTTGCCCCTCTGGTCATCCAGTGAGCTTCTGAGTGTATGATCCAGGATGGGAGAACTGGCCAATGCCAGTCACAGGAAATAGTATTTACAAACTGTTAACTAATTTTTGTCAGTGAGAACCAAGAGCTTGCCAAGTAGAGAACACCACGGCAGTCTGGGAACAAGAGGGTAAAATGCCATATGACACCCAAAATGATGTCCATGAGACCCAGTCATTTAGCTTTTGTAGGGGATGTTCCTCCCTCCATGCTGTTTCTGCCTCTGATCTCATATGACCTCTGCTAAGCAAATGAGACCCAGACCCTTGGCCTCACTCACTCAGACCTCTGTGGTACTCCCTAAGTGACTCCCATCATAACACCGCTCCTACCATACTGACATGTAGGTGAGTGATAAGTGATTCACCTGTCTCCCTCAATGGACTGCAGCTTCTAGCAGAGCAGTAGGGTTTCCTTGCCACATTCAGTGCCTTCTAAGAAACTAACTCCCCAGAAAGACTTGTGAATGATCACAGAAATGTACTATTGCATTGCATGGGTCAGGTGCATAAGATGGTTCCATGGGTGTGTGTATATGTGTGTGTGTGATTAGACAAGTGGACAGCTTGGCCCTGCTGTTTCACCCTACCTGCTGCTGCTTTGTCTAGAGGTCATAGATCTTCTCATGAGCCTCCTCACAGAGCCTCCTCACCTCCTTGCAGGACTCTTGTAGTAAAATCTGCTCCCCCTGCAGCTTTCTGTTGTCCTCTTTCAACATGCTCACATTTTCCTTTAGCTGAGTCCATTCATTTGGGAGCTGACTGTAGAGGGTGCTGAAATATCACCAAAAATGATGAGCTCTACCTCCATCTGCCCCTCCTGCCTCCTAATACCTTCATTCCTGCAAGGTCCCATGTCCCCATTCTCGTGAACCTGGGCAGGAACCTACATTAGCCATGCCAGCATCACTCAGGTGCAGGTCAAACCCAGAGAATAGCCAAATTGCAGAAAGATTCACACTACTTCTGAATACCCTGACAGCAAAAGGGATCCATGTACCTATGAAAACTGGATCCCCAACCTCCTCCACACACACCCTGGGGCTTAACTGTTCACAGTATTGGGGAAACATGAGCAGGCAGAGGGAAAACATGCTCTAAGGGAGACAGAAGACCCAATGGGAATACAGTCCATTCATGTTTCCCACAGAAACCAGCTCTGTAAGCTCCTGCCAGAGCCACAGAAAACATTCATGGTGCAAACCATGTTTTCTCTCTAGAAGCTCCAGAAGTTGACAAGAAAAAGTTGGGAGGTGCTCTCAGGATCTTCACTCTTAGGAGAACTCAGTTTAGGAGGCAAAAGTCCAAGAGCTCTAAGGCACGCTGCTTGCTAAGAGGTAAACAGGCTAAAATCACAGCCCAACTTTGTTCAAAGGTGAAGGAGGGGAGAAGCTGATGTGCAATGTCTTCTGTATGCTGTGAATAAGTGTTGCTCCCATTGGTTAATAAGTAAGCTGCTTTGGCCTATGGCAAGGCAGAATGGAACCAGGTGGAAAAATCCAGGAGAGACAGAAAAGAAAGTCAGAGGTGGAGGAGATGCCAGCTGCCACCCATGGGACAACATGCCAGCAGCCTGGCAATGCAGTAGCCATGTGGCAAAATATAGATTTATTAGAAATGGGATAATTTAAGGTGATAGAGCTAGCTAGCAAGAAACTTAAGCCATTGGCCATACAGTTTGTAAGTAATATAAGCCTCTGTGTGTGTCTTTGGGACCATTTGGCTTCAGGAGGTGGGTGGGACAGATTCCTTCTGGCAGCTGGGTCAGGCAGGACTGGGAAAACTTCAGACTACCAGAAGCAATCCTTACCAATTTTTGGACTTCCATCTAAATTAAGGACTCACTGGTAGGAGTTGGTCTGCTCATTCAGCTCCTTGTACTTGTACGAGGCCTCACAGATCTCCTTGGGGAATTTCTTTACATATGACATCTCCTTCTCATGCTGTGTTTTCAGCATCTCCAGCTCAGAATACAGGTAACTGGGCATTGTCTCATAGTATAAGGAACAAGCTGAGAGGAGCGGTGATGACCTTCTGGTCACACACGGATGGACTGAGTAGGCCCACCAGGCCACTCAAGCTGCTCCCATAGCAAAAAGCAAAAATAGATATCAATTCAGAGCACTGAGCATCTCCTAAAAGCCAATGCCTATCAGGGCCTCTTGAAATGCATGTTGTGATCTTACACCCTACTGCCCCTCTGTAGATTGTGATTCAGGCCACAGGCTCTAGTTTTCATTTGGAAGAATCAGAACAGCCTGTGTCCTATCTCACTCATACAAGCTTCGGTTCTGCCTCTCAGATGCACTCAGGACACAGTAGGGTCACGACAGTCACCAGAGAAAAGGGCATGATGAGTACCTGTTGTTCAACTCATTGCTGTTATATAGGGCCAGGAATTTAAGCAGTTCATTCCTCTCATTGGTCATCATCTGTAGCTGAAGGGTCAGTTTATCCACCAGGTTCAGCTGCTGCTCCTGCTCAGTGAGGAAGAAGGGTGTGGATGATGCCTTCCTAGTAGTCCCTGTAGGTACATAAACACAGTGAATTTGTACAGATGAATGGCATAGGGCCAAGAGATCATGTGGAGTCCCAAGAGGAGGTTTGAGGAAGAAGAAATTAATGACACCCAGTTAAGCCCCAAAATTCAGAGCAGATATCCTTAAACTGGGGACCATAAGCCATGTGTCAAGGATAGATATATGCCTCAGGCCCTACTGCAGCCCCACTGTCCCTGAAAGGCATAAGCAAGGCAGGTCATGTTGGTTTGGAATTGTCAGCCGATACCTGATGTGATGCAAAAAAGTCCTGGACTGCCTGGTGCTTTGCATCTCCCAGCCCTGATAACCTGTGTGCAGGACTAAAAGCAACTGAATGTCTCAGACCTAACTACATGGATGGAAAGTTTCCTTTCCTGGTATTTATATCAGATATCCATGAAATCTACAGAAATCCACTGAGAATAAAGTGCAGCAACATCTTACCCTGATACCTCATTATTGTTTCTGGGCCTCCTTTAGCATTCTTTGCTATCATAATGAACTGAAAAAGGTCCCAGCACAGCAGCTGCTTCCCTGACATTTCCTGGCCCTCTGCCCTCAGAAATCCTTCACTTTGGATCTGCTCTTTAGCAACCCAGATAAGCTGCATAGGCCCATTGCTTCAGATGATCACAGCTACTGAACCCCATTAAGAGAAGGACCTATTCTGGCAACAACTCCTGCTTAGAAAACCAGAGCTTTCTATGCCAATCAGTGTGCTTGGTTTTGCCAACATGTCAATTGGTGAACCCTGTAAGCACTTAATGCATGCCTCAAGGGCATTTGGCATTGCCACAACACTGGTGATTTCACAAAAGATGCCAATGACACTCAGGATACAATAGAATTTCCAGAGAAGGGACAGTTAGGGTCACTGCTAATGTCGTCACCTATCTGATAGCAAACTCTTCCCCAATTCACCAAAAGCCAAGCTGCCCTTTCCAGCACCTTCCCTGAGACAGGGGAGGGCCTTCAGCACGTCATTCCCATCCAGAGATCTCACTGATTCATTAGAATCTAGTTCATTCTAATTCAATTGTTCATTATGTGTGGAAGGCAAGACTCATTTTCCAAACACTGCCCAGGAATGGCTCTTCTCATACTGAAGATTGCTAACTAATAAGATGAGAAATAAAGGATGCTAAGAAATTAGCTCAGGATAATGGGAAAGGAAGATCAGTTCCACAAGGTGAACAAACACATTAGAGAAGCCCCACAGGGCAGTTACAATGTATGGGGATGATGGAGGATTGTGTGGGTCCTGTCAGAAAAATGGTAAATCATATAGGTAATGATGAAACTTTTGCCAAAAGCTTCACCAGAATATATTCCATCCATCAGGATGTTAGCAGTGGTGTTATCAACCATTGAAAGATGTGACTGAAAATACCTAAGGACTGGGCATCCACAGGTGAGCCCTCTGACACCAAGAACAAATACTTACAGGATGAGTGATGTCCCAGTCCTGCACTCAAGATAGAGGGAAGATGACTGGCTAGTGAGAGGAAAGGAACTCAGAGACCTAATAGATCACTGACATGAAGCAATACTTGGTGGCTCCTGCCTTGCCAGGGGTTGTTATTTAAAATGTGAGAATCTCTAGCTCTGGCCAGAGGACTTTACTCTCCTTGTTATTATTGACACACACCAAAAGGCATCCAGTGTGGGTGAAGTGCAGGGCTGGTACTGAAACCTCTTTAGTCCCTCTGGGCTTCCTTCCCACTCAGAGTGAAAGCAGAGGGCCCTCAGCAGAACAGCTGCAGCCTTGATGATCCCTGGCTCTCTGCCAAACTAACCTTGAAAATCCTCAACTTTGTTCTGCCCTTGAAGAATTCAGAGGACTAAAATAGGCCCATAGTTTGCTTAGTTTGCTTCTCAGAAACTCTCACCTGCTTAGCCTCACTCCTGGACGGATCAGATCAAGCCTTCCTCCTTCAGGAAGCTCCCCATCCCTTTCCCAGGACTCACTGTGCTTTCGCCAGAACCATTTATTTCTTGATGTGTGGCATGGCGACTGAAGGCCATCTTCCTTCTGCCTCTCTTTGGTGTCCCTATCCTCTCCATCCTGTCTCCCAAGAATCCTGTTCAGTCTAGACAGAATGTCTGTAGGTGAAATACCAGACACTGCACCAATGTCCCAATGACATTTGGTGTTGCCACAATACTGGTGACATCACATGGAATGCCAGGGCTCTCCAGGATACAGTAGAATGTCCATGTGCTGATGTCACCTGGTATAGCTATTTCATCCCTGTTACATACCTCACCCAAAAGTGACTTGAATCCAAGGTGCCATTTTCAGGAGCCTCTGAATTCACAATGGAAGCCTTTAGGTAGATCCTCCTTCCAAAGCCAGAAATCTAGCCCTCTGATTCATTAGAAACTTTATCTAAGTGAAGTTGAAACCTCACTTTGCATGCACTGTCCAGGGTTGGAATTTCCCCTCCTTAAGATTCATAATCAATAATTTGAGAAAGAAAGGATGCTTAGAAATTTGGTCAGGACAGTGGGAAGTAGTAGGGATGAGAACACTGAAGTGAACAATCCCCCAGAGAAGATCCTCAGACTTGTAGAGATTGGTGGCCTCAAAAAGAAGTCACATAGTTAGTTATGAAGATTCCCCCAGAGTGTCAGTAGAGCTCATTCAAGCTATGAGGTCATTAGTGAAGATGTGACTATCTCTAGACAGGTCTGGTTGGAGCCACTGAGACCAAGTGAGCTCCCAGATATTGAAAGCAAGCAATTCATGGAAAGAGTATGATGACCCAATCCTTGAAATCATAGAGTGAGGAAAATGTAGTGGCAAGTCAGAGTTCAGTATTGGCTACGAAAAGTCATCATGAGTGAAACATAAAACATAAACACACACATACACACACACACACACACACACACACACACACACACACACCAGACATACAACCATGGAGTAGAACATGATGTTGATCACTGCTATGGTGCTTCAACCAGTAAACAAAAGCCAAATGCCTAATTTTGGAGCCACCTATTCCAATCCACATGCTCTTGAAAAGGTGGCACTGTTAGCTTTGGGTACAAGATCCACTAGGAGAACATGAGAAGGGCAGGCAAGGTGAGAGAGTCAAGAGTTGTTGCATCATACAGCTTTGTTATATCCAAACCTCACATTTCTTATGATATCACTATAAAGCCAAGCCAGGTCATGGTCAGCATGGAATGCATGTTCTCCAACCAAAATCTACACCTAAGCATGATCCTTGCAACCTAAGACTGATGAAACTTTTGGGTGATCTGTGTCATTTCAGATTTTGACACTTTAAGCAAATAAATGTGATTTTCAACTTTATTTCTAAATAGAGTCTTGTGAAGACCAAAAAGTTGAGGACATACTGGAGTTTGGGAGTAAGGCATGGCCCTTAACTGATATATAAACTATTTTAAGAACATAGATGACAGTATTGGGTGTAAAGAAATCAGAGGAGAGAGGTGGTATAGAGGGGGGAGATACTGAGAGAGTGTGAATGCTCACATGAATCCAGAGATGAGGCAGTAGATCTAGATGGAAAAGTATAAAGGATTGCCTGCAAATCCCAGTAATTAGAAAGAGGCCTGGAGTCAGCTGTATAGTTGAGACCTCAGACAGCTTGGACTTTCTAACAATCAATTGTGAAACATCACACTTCCACGAACAGATACCCTGCCTAGGATATATAGTTATTCACCCAGCAAAGACAGAAACCCCTTCTGCATGGTCCTGCCTCTTATCTCACTGATGTCCCATCCAGAGGAGGGTTCATCGTCTTCCAAATGCCCTGAGATCAAGCTAACAGGCGACAGCACCTGCCTTCCACAATGTTCATCTCAGCCCACTCTTGGTAGTTGGATCATGTTCAGGAAATGAACTGGGGGATAAGACTTTGCCTAGCCAATTCTCAAAGTTCAGGCTTGAGATTCCCCCTCTGTGAATGTCAACTTTCCTGTCTTCTACAGGCAGGGGAGTGTCTCAGGGGTCTGCGGGTTTCTTCTCCTTTTTACATGGTTCAGGTGACCCAAGGGACAGCCTCCTCAAGCTTATTCACAGCTGCACAGGATACAGCCTCGCTTCTGACTCCCCAAATCTGGCCTCAGCAGCCATGAGAATGGTGGCACAATTAACATGACTTTTTTTGAGACACAGGCTCTCCTGGAACTTGCACTGCAGTCATTCTTCAATTCTCCTCCTCATTTCCCAATTGGTTGAGATCAAGGCATGCATCACTATGCCCAGCTCCTTTTTTCTATTTCTAAATGTTCAAACATCCAGAAACAAGCAGAGTGAGGTGAAAGATCATGATGGAGAAAACCCCAGAGATAGCTTACCCAAGCTGGAAACTCTTGGACTCTGGCTGGAACAATCACACAACCAAACTAGGTACTGTGGGTGAGTCTGGGTGATCATCTGCAGCTTCAGGTGACCATGTTCAGGACTGACTGTGAACATACCTATCTGTTCTGAACCAGACAGCTGGAAGAAGCAGCCTGCTGGTAAAGACACAGCCTACTATGCCTTTGTCTCAGAACAGAAAATAAAAAGGAAACCAGAAGTTGGCTTTTGTATTACTTATCAGTTCCTCTTCATCTGTCTGCCTCACGGGGAAGACTGTGTAATTTTTTCCCTCAAATTAATGAGTTTATTGAAGTTATTACAGGAGTATAGGTATGAGATTCCTTATAGGAGTATGAATAACGGTAATGTGTGACATCACATAGTCTCACGTTAGAATGGGTGACTCATGAAGACTGGAACTCTGAATGTTTCTGCATGGCTTGTTTGCTGCTGAATGAGACAGAGGGTCTCATTTCTTCAGTTCTCCTTAGTTACCACCTATTTAACCTTGGGAGTGGAAGGGCCTTGTTAATCCTGTAAGTTTCAGCTTTCCCAGCCATAGTTTAATTGCTGGGTATTATGAACCTCCTCTCTTTCCACAGAACTTTCTGAGACTTAAGGAAATAGCCCTACCCAGGGAAGAGCACACCAGATGGATACTCAATATAGATGATCAGTCCTGAAAACATATATACTACCTATACAGAATGATTGCTTTACATTTAGAAATATATAACTATATGGATACACACACACATACATTTGTGTATATATATATATACATATATCTTCATGGACATATATATGTATATGAACATAGCAACAATTAATGAATATAGAGGTCATAAATTAGAAACAGAACAAGGAGGAATGTAGTGAGGGTTTAGAAGGATAAAAAAGAAGAGAAAATAATGTAATTATAATCTCAAAAATAATAGAAAAGTATTTCATGTCATACAAAGGAAAATTGTTACACAACACTTGGCCTGTTCCTTAAAATGTTAGTTGTTTCTACAAGTTCACATTCTCCCATGGAGCTCTGCAAAGGCACTAAAGGCAAATACCAGTCCTGAAGTCCCTGGTGAATCAACCATTTTATGTTTGACCTCTTTTGTAAGCACAGCCCAGTGCTCTATCATGCTCAGTGAATTGGCCGCAAAGCACTGCTTCTCTCATATATATTTTTATCAGGAAAACCCCATCCTTCCTTCATCATCTTCCAGTGTGTGTGAGAGACCTCTGCTTGTGATAACCAAGCGTCCCCAATGCTTCCTGTGGGCCAGTCCATCAGGAAATAATTCCTCTCAGATTTCATTAGATTACATAGCCTATATTTCAAGGAAGTTTTTGTAAGTGCCTCACCTACTTTCCCACTTCTATTGCACTCAGATTGATCTCATCTGTTCTCATACTCTAAAATCCCATGAGGCAAGCTTTGACAGGAGGTTTCATTGATCTTTTGAAAATATTTTGTATCAAGTAGTTGAGAGACAGAATACTCCCTGACTAAGACAGGCTCTTTTTGCAGGCCATTTTAAGGCTAGCATATGCAATTTCTAGCATGGATTTTCCTTTTCTCTGTATAATAGGTTGAAATTAAGTGCATCTTCTATCACTTTTATTTTAAACAAAGAATTACACTCTAATTGTATACAAGTGCAATGAATTTTGTCCTAAGGAATTTTAATACATACAGCAGTTTCATATATGATCTTGATTTTTTTTCTCTTCCATAAAATTTCTGACTTATGATTAACTCTGTTTTCTGGGTTTGAGTACAAGTTTCCATTTCTATTTAGAAAACTCTACAGACTTTACCTCTTGACAAGAATTTAGTTAGTCAGAAAACATTTTTGTAAACTTCATGGTAGAGAACTAATAAATACTGAATATTTCAACTCATTGAATTCTTGTATGTAAATTACATTTTTCATATAAAGAAACAAACTAAGATGATGGGTTTGCAAGTTATTAAAGTATCGAGTTGTTGGATGTAGGTTTTAGGCTCATTTTAAGCACAACATGCATTTTTTAACAAGCACTCTTACACAATATTTTTTAGTGTCACAGTGTCAGAGATCTAAGGAACCTCATATTTTAGCAAGTACCAGAAAAAATGGGGATTGCAAAGATTTGGGGTGGGAAAATATGGAGAATAAAACCTACAGAGAAAAGTTTTTTTTTATTTTTATGATATAATTAGCATTTTCTGAGGCCCTGTAAAAACTCAAGGAGGCAAAAATGATTATAATATCCTGCATGAATAAGGGAAGATCAAGAAAAGGAGAAATAAAAGAGGAAGTTGTAGGAGAAGATGGATGGATGGGTGGATGGATAGATGGATGAATGGATGGATGGATGGATGGATGGATGGATGGATGGATGGATGGATGGATGGATGGATGGATGTGTGGATGGATGGATGTGTCAGGGACCAAACATGGACCATGGAAAAGTACTAGCTAGGCCAGAGAACAAGCCCCAGCCCTAAACCAGATGCCCCCAAAGATAAAGAACAGGTCAGGCAGGTCAGGTAGCATAGCAACAGAACAATGGGCCTTGACCAGTGACCTTACCACCTAGCAGCCTCACAACTTGCAGGTAGTCCTTCACCTGCACACACACACCCCACTTCACCTGAACATATGGCATGTCATGCACCCCTTCCCTCCTTCCTGCCCCTTCTCCCTCCATATGTAAGCCTTGCTGAGGAGAATAAAATTTGCAGCTTGATCAGAACACTGTCTTGCTGTCTTCTCTCGTGTCTCCCGGTCCCTTTCCTTCTCTCCCACAGGTGGGTCACCCCCATTGACACCCCGCTGGCCAGGGAATGGATGG